CCCATACCCAGAAGAAACATCAGGAGGCTTATATCTAAGCTCCCTTTAGTTCAACTGAAACAACAGCTCTTTACAAAAGTGGCACCTTTTAGGTGGTATTAAAAGCATGAGGATAACAAAGTGTCTTTAGTTGCATTATCTTACATAAATGTAATCTTAGGATATGTTAGAAGAAAGAAGACAGGCTGTAGAGCAGGGACTATTAACCTGGGGTCCACAAACCCCCACCACCACCTACAGGTCCATAGATAGGTTTGGGGGGCGGGGGTATCAGTGAATGTGGATGGAAAAAAATTTCCATCTTTATTTCAATAGAATTGGCTTTCTTTATAATCCTATATATTTTATTTTATGCGTTTAGAAAACATCATTCTGCAAAAGGGTTCATAGGTTTCAGCAGATGGACTGACAAAGAGGTTCAGAATACAAAAAGTCTGAGAACTCTGCACTAGAGCTAGAGGATCTGGGTTCAAGCTCTTTGAGAATATGGACTTCCTTTTGCTCCTTTTGTATTTCCAGCACTTAGCCCAGTGCCTGGAACACAGTAGGAGCTTTATACATGTTTACTGATTGATTACTGGAATGGCCATGGGCAAGTCATGTTACCTCCTGGTGCCTCAGTTTCCTCATTTGTCAAATGAGGTGGTCAGATTGGCTGGCCTCTGAGTTTCCTTCTAGTTCTAGATCTAGGATTTTTTTATTCTACCTGTGAGGCAGATGATATGCCACCATGTGACAGATGATGAAAGCGAAACCCAGAGGATCAGTCCTTCTATTTCCTTTAAACAACGCCCATGCAGCAAAACCATACTTTCAAAATAAACGAAAATAGAGAAGGTAGCTATTGACGCCTTTGAAAGGGCTGAGCAGTGATCAGCTAAGAAAATATAATCAGCTAAGGTCATTCCAAATCTATCACAAGCATGTAAATTCCTTGTAAATAAAGACTGTTTCATTTTGATCTCTGTGCATAGAGTACAGTAGATATTTAACAAATGTTTGTAGTTTAACTGAATTCAGTTGAACTGAATCAAACCTCTCCAGTCCTCAGATTTGTCCTAGATTGCCAGGCTAGTGAGTGCCAGGGTTGGGCCTGGAAGTTAATTTTTCTCACTGTTTTGGTGGTGCTCTTTCCAAGACCCCAAACTTCTCCCTGGGCTGAGCTAACCCCTGACTCCAGGAAGGCCCAAACCTGTTGTTCTGGTTGGATCACGGGGAGGGAAAAAGGCCCTGATACCTTAAGCTCTGTGTGATAGGGGAATGCTATTTAAAGAAGACCAAAACAAACAACTGAGAAACAGGAAAAGATAAGGAATGTTATGAAGTATGATGAGTCATCAAAATCAATTATTCAATCAGTAAGTATTTATTATGCACCTACTATGGGCCAGTTTCTCTAAGCACCAGGGATACAAAAGACAAAGGAGCTAAATCTTATTGGGGGAAATAACATGTATGTGTGTGTATTTTTACACATTGATACATTTTGCACATACTATATTTTACATGTTTAATAAACTAATATATGGTAATAAAGTATATGTTTCTATTTTAAATATGTATATTTATATATTATATGTAGACACAAATGTGTGCATATATGTATAAAGGGTTCCTTCATCCTTGGGGCAGTCCTGTATGTGTATATATAAGTACAGAAAATGAATACATCACTACAAAAAATGTGAGAAGAAGACACCAGCATCAGGAGATTCAAGGCAGGCTTCCTAGGAGATAAGAAAAGTAGAGATTCTCAGAGGTAGAGATGGGGAGATAGGGCACTCCTAGAATGGAAGGCAATCTCTACAAAGGTACAGAGATAGAGAGGTTAAGTGTGATACAGAAGGAAAAGCATGCCAAATAAGGCTAGAAAGGTAGGTGGGACCCGGGCTTTCAATGTCAAACAGTGGAGTTCATATTTGATTTCAGAGCCAGGCACTGGAAGTCACTGGAATTTATCAAGCATGGAAGACTAACACAGTCAGACTGGTACATTTAAAAGCTGTTTGACATCAGTGGCAAGGATGGATTCCAGGGGGGAAAGACCTCAGAGAGTCAGAGATTTAGCCGTGGAACAGGCCTTAGAGACCATCTTGTGCAACTCCCTTATTTTACAGAAGAGGAATAGGAGGGCTAGACAAGGTCACACATAGGTGGTAAGTAACAGCCCTTACACTTCTAACTCCAACACCAGTGTTCTTTCCACTGTACCACGATCTCTGCAGTGGAGATATCTACAGTAATCTCCATAGAGACCTCTTAGGAGGCTATTACAGTATGCCAAGTGGTAGGTGATCAGGCCAGAGCCAGGTTAGTGTCTGTGAGTATAGAGAAAGGGAAAGGTGTGAGAGCTATTGCAGAAGTAGAAAGAACACAGCTTGGCAAATGATTAAAGAAGAAAAATTAAAAGGCTGTAGGAAGCAAGATACACATGCGATGAAGATAAAGTATGTGCTTGGGAAGCTAATGTTATGTCTCAAAAGGAGGGGGGTATATTATGAAGAATAGGCTTTGTGACCTGGGGTAGCTCAAGGCCCCTCTAGGCCTCTGGCACCTCCTCCTTAGCTGGAAGATATAACACTAGATGATTTCAAAGGCCCTTTCTAGCCTTGAAATTCTGTGGTTCTAAGGGAGAAGCAACAAGAGGGAACAATAAAAATAAAAAGAGAAATGAAGGCATAAACCACAAAGAAACCTTCCAGACCATACACTCCTCACCGAAATCCCTCAGTCCCTCATCTCTCCTTTTGGGTAACAGAGCTCCCTGCAGTCAAACCATACCTTTAAAATTAAAGGAAGCAATGAGGTAGATATTGACCACTTAGTAAAGGGAAAGAGAAGAAGAGATCCCAGGGGAAGCTAGAATTGCCTAAATAACTCCTCAGCCATCTTTCCAACTCCTCAATCAGGATGTATTGCAACCAAGATCTAGGAACAAGACCTTTTCATTTCCCATGAGGCTTAAAGATTGGAGAAAGGGGAAGCAGGGAGATTAACATCCCTGAAATTGTTTAGGAGAAGAAAAAACACCAAGAAAGGAGATGACACAGCAATATGCATGAAAAGAGGCAGACGAAGGGATACTAGCTAAGGTAAGAGAGGAAAATTGAGGCTAGGGTGGGGGAACAGAAGAGGCAGTATAGGAGAGAACTAGAAAGGAGGAGAAAGGGATGACAGAGGCAGGAAGAAGGGGCACATGAGTGCTAGACCTGGGAGGATGGAAATATAGGGGAGGGTCTTTCCAAAATAGGGACCTCCATCATTTTAGCCTCTTGAATGAATTTACACACTCAGGATCACTGTCTCAGTGTTGAAAGGTACATCATTAGTCTTCTGGTGTAATCTCTCCCTGCCCCACAATATCTTCCATCTACAACATCCCTAATTGGTGGTTATCCAGCCCTCACTGGGCAGTTTAGAGAGAGGGATAATTCCCAGGCACTTGTTTCCACTTTTAATTCAATAACTAATCAAACCCTGTGAGAAATGAAATGGTCCTTGTTCTCAAGGTATTTGCCTCCTACTGGGAGGAAACAAAGTATACTCCACAGACATAGGCATTATTAGAATGTAGGTTTCCAAGATAAGAGAGATTCTCTTTCTGCAGCCTTTAAATCCTCAGCCTGATGCTAAAGGTTCTCACAAGTTAGATCCAACTCACCTTTCCATACACAGTCCTCCCCGTTCTCATTTCCCTTTCCAATCAAACTGGTATACTGGCTATTCTCTGCACAGGACAGCTCATTTCTTGCCTCTATGTTTTGGCACAAGTTGTACCTGGAATTCAGTGTCTCTTCACCTCCAACCCTTAGTATTCCTAGCCCTAAAACCCACTTCCTCCCTCACCTCCAACTCTTAGCACCTTTAGCTTCCATTAAAGCTGCTGAATCCCCAAATCCTAAAGGAAGATTTTACTTAAGCCCTGGGGCATTGCTGCCTCTTGAAATTACTTTGTATCCCTTTTATGGTGCTCTATAATGCTTTTGTATATTCTTTGTTTTTTCTGGTGTGTCTGTTTATCGAAACCCAGGGGAATATAAACGCTTCGGAGTAGAGACTTTTGCTTTTGCAACCCTAGTACATAACCCAGCGGCTTGGACCTGTTTCAAAGATGTTTGCTGAAATTAAAATAGTCTTTTCCCCACTTAGCTCCATCCAGACCAAGGGGAAATGCAACTAGGGAGTAAGCGTTAGCCGTCCAGTGAGATCCATCTTTGCTGAAGAATGTGTCAGGGCTGACCGACGGCCCTGACCTTCAACCCTCGCCCCCCGCGGCCCCCTCCGGCCTCTCTGGTACAAATGTCAGGCATCCCCTCGGCTGGCTAGGGACTGCTTCAGTAAACATGTGTCAAGAGTGGCGAACTATGGCACCAGCTGCTCCGATCAGCTCTTATATAATATGCTTTGTCTTCCGAAGGGAGGGCGTGGGGGAGGTGAAGGTGGGGAGGGTGTTGCGATGTAGGGAGCGGCTTTGTGCAAAAGTGTGTTGTGGTTTTATTATTATTTCTTCCCCCCTCCCTCCAGGAAACACACTCCGAGCTGGTGAGGTGAGAGCAGCCAGTTCAAAGCCCGGGGGTCCCCACGCCCCTATCCCCCAGGGAGCCCCGCTCTGGGTTCATCCTAGCTTCAAGCTTGGACTGCGGGCCGGCTCAGACCAGCCCCCCTCCCGCGCCCCCCGCCAGCCCGGCCTGGGAGCCCGGAACAGCCCACGGCCGCCCGGGTAGGGGCGCGCGGGGGCGGAGGGAGCATCCCGTGGAGGGGCGTCCGGCCGCACGAGCCCAGCGGGGAGCAGGGAGTAGGGAGCTAGGCGCCGGGCGCGGGCAGCCCCAGCGGAGCAGGAGCCCGGATCACCAGCAGCAGCAGCAGCAGCAGCACCAGCAGAGCCAGCCGTGCCACCCTCGCCGGCCGCGTCTGCTCCGCTCTCTGCTCGCCGCCCCCCCGGCGCACGCCCAGCCCGGGCTTCTGCAAAACTTTGAAAATACAGAGAGAACTCCCATTACCTTGGCAGGAGCGGGCTTGTCTGCGGTACGGCTGCTGAGCTCTGCATGGGGTTTTCAGCAGCCGTAAAGCGGAGAGGGGGAGAGGGGGAGAGAGGGAGTGATGGAGAGAGGGAGAGAGTGGAGAGAGAGAGCGAGCGAGGAGCGAGCCCTCTCCCCTGAACTGCCGGCGGGCCTCTTAGCAGAGTGAGAGAAAGAGCGAGCTCATCAGGCCGCTAGCCTGGGGAGAGGTAGTTCAGCTGAGTCAAAACTAGAGGCATCTTAGGCGGAGGCGGGAGTTGGGGGGGGCAGCGCCAGGAGGGCCAGGAGGTGGGGCAGGGTACCCTAAGTCAGGAGGTGGAGAGCCAGTCTTCTGCACGGAGCGGAGTGGGGGCGGGGCGCGGGGAGGGGGATGGGGCCGAGCTTTCATGAAGTCACACGCGCGAAGTGCCCAAAGCTCAAGTGGACTGACCTCGGCCAAAGCGTAGATCGCAGCATTAGAAAAGAGTCCCCCTAGGCAAAGGGACGTGTATCTTTTTCTTTACAACAGTGGGCACGCAAAGGCCCCAAATGAAATCAGAAGTGGGGAGGGCCCCCATCCCCAATGAATGAGAAAGGGGCTCCATCTGCCAGAAGGACAGTCTTCCTGGAGCTACAATTTGAGGGGCTGAGTCATCAAACTCCTTACAAAAATGAGTGGGCTGGATTCCTGGAAGGGATGCCAGATGGCTAAATTCTGGTGCTTTGGAATGGTGGAGTGATGTTCCTTTCTCCACTCACTCAGTTTTAGCGAAAAGCGGCCCTAACATAGACGTGTGCAGTCTGCAGAAAAATCTGAGCCAAACTGGTTACTTAATATCTGAGCTCCCACCCACTCCTGGGAGCTTAGGATTTAAGATTCCAAGAGAGATCAACATTTCTCTCCTGTTTCTTTCCTTTCCTTGTTTTCTTTTGTTTCTCTATTCATTCTGGTGCCTACTTGTGTTTTTATTTATCATTATTATCAGAAACCCATCCACGAAAGGGGTGGCTTTAGTGCATTCGAAAACTTTTTGGCGGAGATGAACTTCGAGTTGAAAATTTGAGTGAGAAAGAAGGTAAACTGGGGCAGAAGTTGTTTAAGATAAATAAACAAACAAACAAATAAATAAATAAATAAATAAGAGAGAAAATAATTTGTTTCAACCTCCTTCTTAGCGGTGGAAAAAAAATTGTTCTCATCCGCCCATTCCGCCGGGAAGTCTTCACATGTTTGGGGTAGACATCTCCCTAACTCACTGATAAAAAGGGTTTAGATTCAGTCAAAAAGCCTCCCTTGAAGACCTAGAGGACCAAATGTGGTTTTGAGGCTGCAGGTTCCCCACCCCGGGGAGGTCTATAGGCTACTAGCACCAATGCAAAACACCATTCTCCCCTTTTCCCTTACCTGCATCTGCTGTACCTTTACAGAGTCCGGGGTTTAAAATGAATGCACTTATTAATATACTAATGAATTAATCAAATTAATATTAATATGTACATCTTGAACCTTAAGAATCTGGCCTATTTGCAATTGTCTAATCACGTAAAAGCAATAGAAATCTCACCGGCAATGTAGATATTGTTTGGCCTGCCCCAGCAGCTGCTAGTACCCCTGCCAAGGAAAAGGACAAGAAAGCAAAAAAAGATGACTCCAGGAAGCTGGATGATGCCAGGAGCTCTGGTCTTTTTGACTAAATACTTTTTTGTTTGCAGAATAAATTGCAGAACAAGAAAGAAAGGAAGAAGGAAAGAAAGAGAAAGAAAGATATTGAAAGTGTAAATCCTTTGAAGGCAGGTACTATTATTGCTTTCACTTTTTATCTCCATTATTTTGCATAGTACCTGGCACAGAATAAGTGCTTTATCAACACATATTACTGGATTGATTCTGTGACCTTAGGTCTAACATTTACCTTTTTTCAGCAAATTTCTCATTTGTAAAAAAAAAAAGTAACAATTTGGTCTATAGGACATTTAGTGTGCTTTTCTGTCTCTCAATTCAATGTAACGGTATTTATTGAGCACCTACTATAAGCCAGTCACCTTGGCATAAAAACACAAAAAAAGAAAAATGGCTCCTGCACCCAAGAAGTTCACATTTTATTGGGGATAGATAATATATGAGAGAGATGGTGGGTGTAGGGAGAGAGAGAGAGGCAGAGGGAGAGACACAGAGAGAAAGGAGGAGGAGGAGGAGGAGAGAGAAAAGAGAAAAGAAGAGAAGAAAAGAGAAGAGAGGAAGCAGAGAGGGGAACAGAGAAGGGGGAAAGAAATTGGGAGACAGAAACAAAGAGAGAGACAGATGGAGAGACCCAGAGAGAGAAATATTAACGTCTAAGGAAATCATGAAATACTCTTGTTAGGAACACCTAAGGTCAGTTTGGAAAAAGCTAGGAGAACATTTTAGGAGTAGTGAACCACCTGTACAAAAAGAATGGAAAGTCATTGTACAGCTTACAGCTAGCAGTCTGATTTGGAACAGGAAATCATATTAAATAAGACTAGAAAAGCAGGCCCTCATACACAACATTAAATTCTCCCTTTCTGAGCCCTTGGACATGCTCTGCCACATGCCTGGAATACCTGACCTTCTTCCTCACCCCTTGAAATCCTTAGCTTCCTTTAAAATGAGAAGTGATAAAGGTTAAAATTAGGGCAGAGATTGTAAGTGGGGAAAAGGGGACAGAGGAAAGAGAGTATGTAGAACAGGCAATGTTTGGCAACTGTTGAGATATGGGAGAAAAATGAGAATGGAGAATTGAGGGTGAATTCCTAGGTTGCGAATTTGAGTGAGTATAAGAATGGTGGAAATATGGAAGAATGGTAGAAATATGGAAAAATGGTGAAAATATGGAATATAGAACAAGGGGCAAATTTGAGAGAAATGTGAGATCCTTTTTGGGCATGATGAGTTTGAGATGTCTAATGGAAGACCTAGGTGAAAATGTCCAGCAGGTCATTGGTGAAATGGGACTGAAGTTTTACATCTATGAACCATTTAATTCAGGTATTATTCTAAGTTTTCCTTCTAATTTCTCTCAAATTCTCTGTGAAATTTGCCAGTGTATCTCCATTAGCAGTGAAATACAACTGTGATCCAATCCCTTATGTGGAAGAGGATAGAAGACTGCTTTCAGAAAGGCATGATAATAATGGAAGTTCCATGGCCTCCAATTTGGAACATATCCAGCTGTTCTGTAGCTGGTTCCAATGTCAGCCATACAGTGAGGAGACAAACTGTTGATTACAGAGCCAGAGCTCTGGACATGTAAAGACAATAGTCCATTCAAATGAGGAGTCAAGGACCAAGACAGTGGGAAGAGAGACCTCTGACCTTTTTCTGCCCACTGTGGGCTCCACAATATGGTTTCTGAGTGCATGGTCCTGCTCTTGTTTCTTTCTCTGTTGTGTCTATTTTGCTTTTAGGTGAATGGGAGATGGCTATGACCTTGGGATATTTAAAGATCAGGAGAACCAGCCACCAGATGTCCAGAATCCAGAATCCATGCTGAGATTTGCCAGAAGCAACAAGCTAAAAAATGAAATCAGTTCCCAGTGACTTGCCTGGTCCACTCCCGAAGTAGCAAGGATGTAAACTCAAACATGCAACATTCCTTACATATTTGGAAGTGAATTCAGAAGGGGTAAATGCCATGCAGAAATTTTGTTGTCTAAGCCCACTCTTCCCAGGGACCAAGGCCATTTAAGAGAAAGCACTGCTCCTCCAAATGTTTGTATTTCTGTTTTCTTTGTCTTTAAAGTAAACATTCCTTTTGTAAAAACCAGCTGATGTTAATTGGAATGGGGATACTAATTAGACAGTCAACAATGTGGGGAACATACCCTATTATGGCAGCCCAACACAATAATATTAAATAAGACATATTCTCCACACCTCTAAGGAGCCCCTAAGATCCTAAGGAGGAGACAGAGCCATTATTGGTCTAGAAGACTGAATTTAGAACATCACTACATAACCAAGAGTTAATCTTCCATCCTTGTTTTCAAGCAAAGGCAAGTGGACATAGTTCAAATCCTGAGGTGAAGTAGAGAGATAGAACCTCCTAATGTAGAAAACCCTTAACTTAAAACAGCCAGAGAGAAGGATGAGATGACATAAGGATGAGGACAAAAGGATGATAAGACCTAAGACTACTCCAGGAAACCAAGGCTTTTGCCGTAGATTGTCTAGCCCTCGGATCAACCTAAGAGCAACATAGCTGTTGATATATGGATAAGAGAAAACTTCGTCAAGTCAGAATTATTTTTGTCATGCCATTTGATCTGATATTGTCCTTAAAACAGGCTTTTGAGGTCAACTGTCTTTCCATTGAATCACTTTTCCATTGAATCTCTAGAGGGCAATGTCTATGTCCAAATTATCTTTCAAATCAATTCAACAAAATGTCCATTTTGAAGAAAACGCATACAGATAAGCAAATACAAAATACAAAGCAAAGTGACAAATGAAAGAATCAGAAAAGCAAGTAGGTTCTTGAGCCCTGCTTTGGATGGAGCAGTGGGGTTTAAGAGGTAAAGTTAAGAAAGGAGGGAATTCCAAGCATGAGGAACAGCCTCTGTAAAAGAGTGGAGGTGGCAGGTGAGATGTCAGGCATGAGAAACAGTAAGTAGGCTAGTTTTGCTGGAAGGTAGATTGTATAAAAAGGAGTAGCAGGAAATAAATCTGGAAAAATAAGTAGGAACCCAAGTATGAAGGGGGCTACATGACCAAAGAATACACACATATGTGTGTATATGTGTATAGGTGTGTATCTAGATGTGCATATATACATATGTATGTATTATCTTCCTCACTCAATAATTTATTAGGCACTTGCTGGCTGGCACTAAGCTAGATAATGAGTATACAAAGACAGAAATGAAATAGCCCCAGCCCACAAAGAGCTTGCTTTCTACCTAATGAAAGCTGAACAAATATAAGTATAAATACAAAATAATTGCAAGATATATATATATATGGAGGAGAGAGAAGATGGGAGAATCTTGAACATCCTTAGGGAGAAGCTAGTGTTTAAATTGCGTTTTGAAGGAAGATGTGGTTTCTAAGAGGATGAGGGAAGAAGAGAGAACATTAGAGGCATGTACAGAAGCTTGTGCACAATGAGGGAAAGAGGAGGCCAGAGGCAGCAGGTAGCCGCTGAAGCTTCTAGAGCAGAAGAATAATGTGGTCCCACATTTCCCTCTCCCTTAGCATCTAGCATAGTGCTTTGTGCTTGGGGGGAGTTGGAGGAGGAGGGGCTAATAAACAAA